GGGCATCGACGGCGTGCGCGCCTTCCTGCACTCCTACTCGCACGACGTGTCTCTCACGGCCGACTCGCGCAAGAGCCACCTCCGCTTCTCGGCCCACAGCTGCTGCGACACCCTGCCGGCCCGGCCGCCGCCCGACGAGCCCGCGCCGCTGCTCGGAGACGAGGATCCTGCCGGTGCCCAGCAGGCGGACCCCGCCCCTCTCCCGGTGAGTTTCTCGTATCGGGGCGTGTCCGCCTCTGCCACTCTCCTTCCCTTTATCCCCCGTAATCTGTCTTCTCCAGTGAGGTTTTCTGACAATGAAGGCAAAGCTTCATTCAGTGGAGTTTGGAACACTGTTGCCTCTTGCTGCGGGGAGGTGAATGTGGAGTCGGTGCTCAGCCCTAAATTTGGTGAGGGGACAGGATAATTGAGGCTGCAGGTGGTTGGAGCTTTGCTCTGTCGGGGACTTGTTTTCACACTGCGGGTAATTTCTCTCTTGTTTCCTGACGTTTCTAGTTTCAGTGTTCTTGTCGTTATTAGATCTCCTATTACTTTATTTTTCTTATGTTATTTCCGTATTAGCTCTTTTTATAGCAACAGAATTCTTCCTCTGTTAGCAAATGGAAGTTTCCTTTATTAGCAGAGTCAGGTGTCTTCCCTCATGTTCTAGGACTGGGTGAGATTTTCTTGAAATAGAAAGTTAACGGCCCTTTGTGTAACTTCCCTTCTCATCGTTTCTATTCTTCTCATCCTTTTCCAAGTCTCTGTGATAAAAGGTGAGAAACAAATGTTTTTGCTTTCGTCCATACTCTGATCTTGGTGTCCATAGTATAGGAATGGGGTGGCCAACAGCTGGTTCTTTGATGATGCCTATCTGCCTGTTTTGAAGATGGAAGACAATTTTGGGTATTGTGACTGTTTCAGAAAGACTGTGGGTTTCTGCTTGTGAAGGACAAGAAATGGGAGATCTGTTGTGCTGATTCCCCTTGTTTTAACATTGTCATATTGGAAAAGAATCTGAGCATGCCTGGTCTTGAAAATACATCCTATGGGAAAAGCTTTACAAGGGAGGAAGGGAAGCGATTCAAGGTGCAGAGGGTGACGTAAGAAGGAGGTGATTGCCTGTATGCAGATGCTCACTGACCCGGTCTTTCCTGCAGGACAGCTTCTCTTTCCCTTTGGGAACTTTGAGGTTTATTCACATAACACTAGTGAACAGAAAAATGTATCTTCCTTCTTCCTACAGTGATGTATAGATATCTATGTGAGGTCTGTGGGGGGTGGTGGTGGTGCGTGTTGAAGAGAAACAGTGTGGGAACTGGTGCTTTTATGTCATGTATCTGCAAATTATCAGGGTCAAAACCATCATGTAATTTATGAAGGGTTGGAGTTGGGAGTTGTGGGAGCTGGGCATGAGGGGTTGTTGAAGGGTGTAAGAGATGTTTTGATTCATCTCTATCACCGTGCAATGTGAGTTTCATCTTCCCAAATAATTTTGATTATAAGACTTGTTATTCTAGTTGTATGGGGAGCCCTGGACGTTCTTCCTTTGTGTTTGCAAATCATCATTAGTATTTGTCTTACATCTTAATTACATACTTACAACATAGGCCAAAATGGCATTTTTGGGAAGAGCAAACTGTGTATTCACCATCTATCAAAGACATGAATTATGTACCTTCTTAAAATGCCATAATGTAGAAGAGTACATTATGATCCCTTCCTTTCTGCAGGTTTTAACTTCTTGCTTTGCACTTTGTGGTGATCTAACTGTGGGCCTTTGCATCTGATGATCAATGGGAATAACATGAGCTGTGAAAGTTTTGAGGAGAGATTTGAGGGTGCTGTGTGTGAGGAGGTACTTCTTAGAAACAGGATGTATGTGTTTCTTTTTTTTTTTAATGTATCGTACTGCTCAGAATCCAAATGGTCAAGTTGCAGGTCCATCAGTTTGTTTTCTCATTGCATGACATTTTCTTTGAATGGCAGTTACTGAGCACAGGGGTGCACTTCACGTTTAGACTTGTGAGTCGTGTGTGAGCACATGCGTGTGAGCACATGCCCATGTGCTAAAATAGAAGGATGGTGTCTTTGTTATGACTTATACACTTGAGAAGATTTTACATTTCCTCAGGTACTTTGGTGAGCAGAGAATTGTCTTTACATGCATCCACATTGTGATGCTTGTTCCCAGAAAAGGAGAAGTGTATGCAACTTTCCTTCTGTGTTCTCTGTCTGCAAAGGTAGCTCCACTGTTGTGTCATGTTTTGGCAGGGTGAAAAATTTTGTTTGGGCAGAGACAGAACAGCTACAAGGGTTAGAGAACACCGTGAAAGTTGTGAAGGGTTGGAGAGGAGAGTTCTGGTCCTGTTTGTGATGCAAAGGACACGGGAGATATAGTTTGCTCCATTCATTATTTGATGCCCATTTGCCATATAATGCAGTGTGATTTTCTTTTTGCCTGTGAGTTTGCACATTTTCATGTGGAATGATGAAGCATGAACACCTTGTTCCTGTTTGAAATCTCCACTACCCATCCACACCTCCCTGTCATATGGCAATGTGGAGTTTCTTTGTAGTTGTAATTACACTTTCTTTCAGCCCTCTGTTTCCTGGAAGGTCATTTTCCCCGTTCCTGAACAGTTCTTTTGCCTTTGAGAACTGTGAGTACTGTTTTGTAACAAATACTTCAAGTACCTAAGATAAATTCTGCGTATGAGGAAAATGAAGCAGAAGCAAAACATCAGTCTGTTGTACTGTAATTTCTCAAAAGACTGAGCTTGAGCAAGAGGCCTGTGATAAGCTGTTTACACTTGCAGCTTCATACCTGTGGGAGGTTAGCAGGCTAGAGTTGCTGAGATGTGATAAATATTTCTTAAAATGAAACCCCTACTATGTAGTCCAGAACTTGAGGGTCTCACATAGAGCTTGAGACAGGAATCCCTTCCAGGTGCTCTCAGTAGTGAGTTTCTGATGTTGCAGTGAAGACCAAAAAGACTTCCCAATGAGTTTCTCCAATATCTCTTTGTCTTCTAACGCTTCCTTGCCTTGCTTATCTGATTTATGGCCTGGTTTTTCACTTCTTGGCTTCCTGCTTTCCTTGTAAATATCAGTATTGCTTCCTGTAGGAACGTACCATGTGTTAGTGCCTCTTTTCATGCTACAGCAGGTGTGAAAGGCAGGAGGTGTGAGAGTATCTTTGTAGTCTGCTGTTGTCTGGAGGGATAGATATAAATGTGACCTTAGCAGAAGTCATATCTCTGTGGAATGATGCCTGTGATAAAAGAGGGGAGGAGATTTGCCCAAAGCCATTAGTTTGATGAGCCATTCTCTTTTAGATGACCATTCCTCTTTTATTTTGGCCTTTTATACTTTGTGTGCTTTAGAATCCTTCAGTTTGTGATGAGAATGCTGGTGAGCAGGCAAATATAGCTTCCTTCTTGGTCTAATCATAGAGCATTATCCACTCATGATAGCTTTTGCCAATTATGAAAAAGTCAGAAGTGAACCTGACAGCTGTGTGGTGATGGAGAGAAGACATGGGAGCTTTGTGGGGGGAACTGTAAAAGAACAGATGGTAATCTTGTCACCTGTCATATTTAACAAAAGTGTGTGCCTGATGGAATACCATTCAACTTGAGTTGCTTCTGCTCAATTAGTGCGGCCTATGAAATGGTTTTGCACCTGATCTGTTAATTTCCAACTCTCAGTATATTTAACTTTTGCCTTGCTTATCATGAGCTCAACCTCAGGGAATCTGGTCTTACGTGGAAGGTCACATCTCTTCCAATTGTCCAAGGGCAGGTGCCCTTCTTGTACACGCCTGTGATGTTTACAGCTGTAAGGCTTTCGTAGGCATATGTGTGCCCACCCAGGCACACTTGTCTGTAGCATAATAATGCAAACCCATCTCTTATAATGCAGTCTTCAAAGTGCAGAGGGGACACCCAGCCCAGCCAAGGTTTCCCTGAGCAGAGTAGAGGCCAGTGGGAGAAGGTGTGCAGGATGACTCTCACACTCTCCCCCTTAAAATGGTGGCTGCTGAATTGGAGAGAGAATGTTTGACTGTAAGATGGGTGTATGGTCACCTCCAAAGAGTTACAGTCACATAGGCTCAATATTATGTAGGCTCAATGTCCAAGTGGAAACCAGCAATGTGTGGTGTCCCTCAGTGCTCCATATTGTGACCAGTAGTATTTCCAATCTGAAACAATAGATCTTCGTCAAGGACATAGACACTGTGTG